TACTGAAGACTAATACGCACCATTTCGTATCAAGCAAGAAATATTGTGCATTCAGGATAAGGTTCAAGTGCTTCATCTTCAGATTCTTGCAAACAGAAAATAGGCATTGCTCAGCTCATCAGCAGAGTCCTGGTCTTGTCGTTTTAGAGAAGCCCATTTTTAAATCTGTGATATTTAAGGGCTTCTCCTGGTTTAGTAGATAAGTTTGTTCAGCCTGTACATGCTTTTTGGAAAATAGAAAAATTCAGGTATATCAGCTTTTAAAACTGGTGGCTGCTGGCAAACCCTTGATCATAGAGTACTTGAAAGAAATCAAATTAATGGATGGTTAATTCTGTCATTACCTGTTTCCATTAAATGGAGCAAATGAGCAATCTAGTTTAACTTTGTCTTGCCCAAGTTGCTTACACTGTATGCGTTGTAGTAAGTTGTGTCCAGGTTTTTTAATAGCTGTGTCTAAATTGTCAACACAGCTTGTAACTGTTTAATGCTTCATTTAATGTGAACACATACAAAATTTTTCTACATAGGAAAAAAGTCTGCAATTTTGAGAAACTGTGAAAGCTGAATTGTCTGTTTTTCAAATTTACCTGACATCACTGAAAAATCTGAATAGTCAGCGTGAATTAAGTAAATTTTTTGGCCATTTTTTCCCTTTCTTGTGAAATAGTCTTAAGTCAGACCTTCTAGTTCTGATGTACATAGTTATGAACATTTACTAGCTAGCACAAACTGATGCTTTTTAATTCTTTGAAATCTGACATGTGCTTTTTCATCTTTTACTTTAGCCACACCTTGAATGGACTGTTCAATGGGGTAGAAGTTGGTGGCTTTCAGATATATACATCTCTAGCCAAAGCTGCAGTGGACTGATGAGGGAATGTTATGAATATTCATTCTTTCATTCTCTTTTTCCTCAGATTTTGACATACTGGAAGTTGTAAGTGCCCTTAAAATCAGCCTGCTTACCAAGCCAAAATACACTACAATAACTCTGTAATGCAACAGGCGGACAGGAAGCTGACTGAGGAGTGCAAATTCCAAATAGAATTAATTACTGCCTTGATACTTCAAAATATATACATTCTGGCCTTTTTCATTTCCTTTGTATAATATATAATTCTCCTGAAAGCTAAGCAAGTGAAGCAGTGATTTAGTTTATTATTTACTTCAAAACAGTATAAAAAGAATGATGTTGGAAATTATAAAATGCAGTAATCATATATAAGACTTTTTAGAATTTTATTCTCAAAAGAGCCCTTCTTTTTGAAATAATTATTGTCGTGCTTTTACTTAGCCTAAGTCATTTTAATAAAAAAGTAGCTGCTGCATTATGTAGTGTTGATACAAGAAAAAAACCTGAGCATATAAGCATGAATTCATTGAATTCATGTTACTGATTTTCATGTGCATCAGGATATTCAAAAACATGGCACGTATGATGCTTATGATGCTCCCATTTTAAAGTAACTGTATTGCCTCTATTTCATTTCTGCAATTTGGAATAATTCTCACTTTATTAGTATTTATAAGGATGTTGAGATCTTTAGAGGAGCCATATAATAGTGCAGAGCACTGTAACTTAAAATATTAGTTAGCATCATGTACTATAAGTGGAATTTCAATCTTATTTCTGTAAGCTGTTAGTTATTTAAAGAATGAGCGTGATTTGTTCTCCTTCAAGGTACTGCAAAACCTGAACATGCAGATAATATAATACTTCCTTCTTTTGCAGAAATGCTAAAAGAGCTCATTTTGATATCCTGAGATCCCATCATAGCTCACAAAGCCAAGAGGGGTAACCTGAATCTAGAATACCTTGCCTTTGCAGTAAGCTGTTCTGGAGATAAGGAAGATAGCAGTGCATATACACCATAGAGGTGGTTGTCATAGCTTGCCGGTGACAATATTCTGCTGCTGCAGGCAGTGTCTTTCATGTGAGATATAAAGCTACTGTTTTTAACAGCGTTTGGCCCTTATAACTGCTGTGCCACTCTGAAAAAGCATGAGAGTTAATCACAAAGGCTGGAATAATTTCAGTTCAAACCGAATTCCTTTTGTCTGTCAGCATTCCTCTAGCCTTTTTGGGGGGGCTGGGAAGGGGGATCTAGTATTTCTCACCCCTGGTAACTTGGCATAAACAGCTCTTTTGTGCCACTTTGCCAGTGATGTCTGTATTAATAATCTCGTTCTGTTTTAGCATTCTTGCTGTAAGCAGGCAGAACTCAAGTTATGTCATTAATTCAACATCTGGTCCCAGTTATCCTGACATACTGGGCCAAAATATGTCTGCTTTTCTCTTCATGCTCTCACTATTGTATGGGGTAATTTATTTATTTGCCCACGGATAAGTCTTCTGCATATTAGCTCTTCCCTCCTGCCCTCCTTCACAGGAAGGAGACCAAAGGAGAGCTGTCTGTTTTCTGGGGTGGTAGGGCATATGGTAGAGCATCTTCTGCCTAGTCCTCTTCTCAGAAGGCTCGGTGCATTTCTGAAGTGCTCAACCTTAAGCTGCATTGGCTGTCTTCTTCCTTTTTGACTCTTAGTTAGGTCTGGAGAAGCAAAGGAACTTATAGCCCCATTTTGACTCATCTCATAGAGAGAGCAAGACTTCAGGTAAATTTCCATGAACCTCTGTTGACACAGGGTTGGAGAACAGAGGGAGAGGAAACAGCAAAGCTGGAAAGCTTAGTATTGAGAACAAGAGAAAAGCAGGAAATGCAGCAAAATTACAAGGGATTCATTCAAGAGAATGTTGAGAGCTGTTGGGGATAGAAGCTTTGATAGGTGAGAACTAATTGCAGAAAATTAGGTGTTTGTGAGGGAGCGGATGGATTTCTTGGAACAATCTACCAGGGGAATGGAGAATTAGTTAATTGGAGACTTTCACAAAATTCATTGGGTGCCTCCCTAAGTAAGCAGAGAGAGCAGATTCATTTTTTTGAAGACACTATGTGAATAAGGGTTTCCAATGAGTTAATTTATTTTGCAGTCTCTATGTGTTTATTAATGGAAGTTGCATTTTGGAAGCTAGATTCAGAGATTTCTTCTGGATTTTCTGGAAAGAGTAAGGCAGTTATAGAGGTGGGGAAAGGAGAGAGAGTAAATTAATGGGAGAAACACAGAAAGAGTGGAAGAAAGCTCTGTAAATGAAAATGCAGTAAGCTTCAATGCGCAACACAAGATTGGTTTACACTGGAGAGTATCTGACACAAGTGCAATAACAATTAGATTGGGGTGAACCTGCAAGTTAAACACAGCCTCATATATTTAATGTGATTTTTGTACTTTTTATAAAAGAACCTGTAAAGATATGTTTAAAAAAAAAGACTGATAGCAGAATTTATTAATAGTGTAAATGACACCTCTAGATGTGTTTCATTACCTGGCTCATTTTAGCCTCCTTTCCTTTCCTCCCCCTGCAAAAAACATTTAAATTTGTGATATCGGTAAAGGCACTGTCATTTCAAAGGCATCTGCTGGCTTTGGCCTGTTGTGAACATGCATGTCCATGTATATACATACATATGCATACATATTCACAGCACAGATTAGAAAATTCTTATTTTCTCCATCCAAGTTTTGAAGAAATGGTCTTGTGTATGTGTGCTATTTTAAATGGCAATAAGATAAGCAGAAATAGAATCATACAATCATAAAATCATAGAATCATTAAGGTTGGAAAAGACCTCTCAGACAGATCATTGAGTCTAACCGTTAACCTAACTGCCCAGTCCACCTCTAAACCATGTCCCTAAGCACCACATCCACATGGTTTTTGAGCACTTCTAGGGACTGTGATTGCACCACTTCCCTGGTCAGTCTGTTCCAATACCTAACCACTTTATCCTAATATCTAATCT